GGTTGCCCTGCCCAGGAGAACGGAGCTGGAAAGCAGGTTAGTAGGGGGCGAGGGAAGGGGGATTTTGCAGGATCCTTCCCCTGCCACGCCCACCAAGCCACGCCCACAGAAGTGGTAGTAAAAAACATTTAAATCCCACCCCTGCACGAGAAGCTCTTTCACTCCAAGGCAGAGAAACCCTCCGGAGTTTGGTGCCTGTCGTGCACATTTTCCCTGGGAATTTCCACACTTGAGACAATTGGAAAACATCTCCTAAGTTTCAAGCTTTGACCAGCATGGCTCAAAGTGCCAGGTTGCTCAGGACTCTCACTGGGCACTACGTCCTGATGTCTCTCTCCCTGGGAACCCCCTCCCCAATTTCATTTTGAGAGACGCCCAACGCAGGTGAAGTTTCCGCAGCGTTTCCGGTCCCTCGGCCGACCCGGGAAGCCTGAAAATGGCCCCCTGGTCATGGAGTGACCTCCAAAACAGACTCCCAGCCGCCTCTATTCAGAGCCTCCCCAGGCCTCCCTCAGGTTCAGGTTAGCCCAGGTTGGGTAGGGAGGGGGCCGATTCCCAAGGCCAGCCCCACCCGTCTCCACCCCGCCCAAATTTCTGGGGGCCTTTCAGGGATTCAAGACATCCAGCCTTAACAGGATGCCCCGTCGCCCCAACAAACGCCCACGGAGAAGGACCGAAGCCTGGGCCTCTGGGGCTTGGGGGGAGAGTCCCCAGGGAGCTGGTTTGGGTTGGTGGTCAGGCTCAGCTGAAGGACCGTGTGGGGCGGAGTGGCCTGTAAGTGCCCCCCCACGCAGACACACAGTGCTGGAGAGCCTGGGATTTTGCCCGCTGAAGATGCTTTTGTGCTGATGGGCCTCCAGTCCTGCAGGCATTGGGGTGTAGGGGTGGGCTGGGGGTAGGTGGGGCTGGGGGCGGGTGGGTGGGTGGGTGAGGCAAGCAGTGACACTCCCCCACCCACCCACCATGGACGCCCACAGGTCAGTCCTGCTGCAGGAGCCTCCGTGAGACGTAGGGGGTGGTGGCTAAAATTGGGAGCATCGGAAGAGCACCTCCCCTCCTAGCAATGGGGGCGGGGGAAGTTGGGGGAACAGCGTGGCCACAATCTGTTGGGTCACCTCGGACCTGATGCCAGAACCTCCCCCTGCAGCTGCAGAGCAGGAGACTGAATGGCCTACTTTAGAGCAGGGGGGAAGTCCCTTTAACGCAAACCCCGAGGCGCATCAAAAATTCAGTGTTTTCAACGCACGGAGGGCAGCAACCCAGCAGATCAGACCTTGTTTGGGATCTGCCTTACTTTCCGCAGCCAGCCTTGCGCTCTGCCGTGGCGGATATTACCAAAAGCACCGTTGCCATCCTGCCTTTCCAAAAGCAACCGCGCCTTGCAAAACACTAAGATCCCATCAACCCCCTCCCTCTGCAAACGTTTCCCTAAACATCCTTGGCTTTTAGGAAAAGGGGAGGGGGGGTTCGGTCCAAACCAGGGTCCCACATGTCCTGCACCCCGCCCGCATCCTCCCGGGCTGCTCAGGGGAGCCCTCAACGGCACCCAGAGCAGGGCTGCTCCTTGGGAGGCTGCTTGTCACGTCAGCTGCAGCTCCAGAGACGGGACAGTCGGGGCGGGACTCTCGTCCCACCACAGGATCACCTGGATCACCCCACTTACTCGATCAGGTGGTAGGAGGAGGGAGGGGAGGAAAAGTTGTGAAATGCACCCGCCCTGCCAATGCCCTGCGGACTGGACGGCCTGCCTTGCCCTCCTGCCCACCAGCCACATTTAAGGAGGACAAACCCACTGAGGGGAGGGCAGGGGGGAGCGTGACCAAGCGCTGCCCAGACAGTCCTCAGAGAAAACAAGGTCAGGTTGCAAAGCAGCTGAGAATGCCAACCTCCCTGCCAGACCTGGCACTTGGAGGACGCTTCTTGACTGACCGGCTGCCTGTCCACCCTACTAGCCCTGCTGCCTGCCTGGCCAGGGGGAAGGGGTGCTGATCAAGGGAGCCTTGCCACCCTCCCCTGGGCAAGGGCAGCCCCGTGGCGTGCCAGGGGGCTGCCCAATCCAGCATTAAGAGCAGAAACTGGCTGGGTTAAGCAGGGCTAACCCTGAACCCACAACTCTAAGGGTCTGGCTGCTGCTGCTGCTGCTGCTTGCAGCTGGCTTGCAGCTGGCCCGTTTGGGCTCCCATCCCAGCCCCCAGGTGCTGCCACCCTCCAGACCAGGGGTCTCCAGCCTTGGCCCCTTTCAGCCTGGCTGGAGAATTCTGGGAGTTGAAGGGGCCAGGGCGGGAGACCCCTGCTCCAGAGCCCCAGCCCTGGCAGGCTACCCCCTTCATGCCAAGGCCTCCCGCTTCTTCCAGTGAGAAAACCCCCCTGCGAAGGCCAGGCCTTCCTCACGCTCGGGGTGTATTCGGTGTGCCTGACCATTTCCAAGTTGAGGAAATCCTGTGGGACCCCTTCTCCGGGAGGATCCCTCCTCTTTTTGAAAAGCAGAAATATTTTTTTTCCAGCTGTGTAAAAGGGCTTCTCTGATTTTAGTAAAGGAAAGTTTAGCAAAATTTTGAAAAACCTACAAATTGGTATGAGCAGGTCAGCTCCCGGAGTTTTATGGAAATGAGCTGAAATGAGGAGCAATTTGCATCTCTCATGTTCTGCCCTTGTTCATTTTGCATTTGTGTTCTAGAGCCACGTTCCTGTTTTAACGTTTCTTTGGCATTTTTACAGTTTATGGTTTATTTTTCTGTGTACCACCCAGAGAATTACTTTAAAAATAGCAATTTCTATTATAAGTAAGTGGCATTGGGAGACTTCCAGGGGTTTACCGAGAAGAAGGCTGAGCAACGGGAAAAGCCCGGCTCCCATTCAGCGCTCCAATCTTTTTTCAAAGCCAACTGGGAAGACCTTGGCTGAACTGCCAGCTGTTTGCATCTGCTTGGAACTGTGGAAAGCTGTTGAGGCCAAGCCTCCTGCTCAAGGGAAGTCACCACGCTATCAAAAAGATGTGGAGACTCTAGAAAGAGGGCAGAGAAGAGCAACCAGGATGATCAGGAGACTGGAGGCTCAAACATACCATGAACGGTTGTAGAAACTGGGCCTGGCTAGTCTAGGGAAGAGAGGGACCAGGGGAGACAGGAGAGCAGCCTTCCAGTATTTGAGGGGCTGCCCCAGAGAGGAGGAGGAGGGGGTCAAGCTTTTTTCCAAAGCACCTGAAGGCCAGACAAGGAATAATGGATGGAAACCGAACAAGGAGAGATTCAACCTGGAAGTAAGGAGGAATTTCCTGACAGGGAGAACCATCAACCCATGGAACAGGAGTTGCCTTCGGAAGTTGTGGGAGCTTCATCCCTGGAGGCTTCCAAGAAGAGACTGGACTGTCAGAAATGGGGTAGGGTCTCCTGCTTGGGTGGGGGGTTGGCTGGCTGAGGAACTCTGGGAGTTGAAGTCCACAAGTCTTAAAGCAGCCAAGATTGGAGACCCCTGCACTAAAGGAAGGGCTGCAAGCCTGAGACCTTGGGTTGAGGGGAGCTGGCACAAGGCCAAGAAATGCCCCCTTTAAAATCTCTTTCCTCTTTAGGCCCCAAAAGTCCCACCCTGGAGGGGAGGAATATTCTCTGTCCTGCACAGGTCCCTGCACTGCATTGTCGCTGCCACGGACTGAGTTGTAGCCTCTGCTTGTTTATTTTTGTGGCTTAGTGTGCAAAGTGGGAGAGCATCCAAACTCCTTAAAGGCTCTTAAGCATCCCAGGGAAACCCAACCGTGGGGGTGTTTCTCAGGCATCAGCTGTGCCTGAAATGAATCATAAGGCTTAGGACTCTTGGCTTCTGTGGAAGGGATCCCTGCTTGCCTGTTGCCTCCGGCTGAGGAACTCTGGGAGTTGAAGTCCACAAGTCTTAAAGTGGCCAAGGTTGGAGACCCCCGACTTAGATGACCTTTCTGGTCTCTTCCAACTCTATCATTCATGGCCGGGTGGGGAATTCTGGGGGTTGAAGTCCACAAGTCTTAAAGTGGCCAAGGTTGGAGACCCCCGACTTAGATGACCCTTCTGGTCTCTTCCAACTCTATCATTCATGGCAGGGTGGGGAATTCTGGGAGTTGAAGTCCACAAATCTTAAAGTGGCCAAGGTTGGAGACCCCTGACTTAATGGCTGTTCAAAGTTACAAATGTCCTCATGCAACCATCACAGAATGCCCCCCAACATGATCAAAATGTAGACATTTGGCCCCCAACATGTACGGATGACAGTTGGGGGGTGTTCCAGGCACCCTTGATTGCCGCTTGTGACTCCCCAGCCAGCTTCCGACAAGCAAAGCCAGTGAACAAACTGCACGATTCACTTAACAATTGAAGGGAACAACCGTGGCAAAAAAGAGTCATAACATTGGTCGTGACTCACTCAAGAGCCACCATGCTTTGCAATGGAAAACCCGGTTCCAGTTTGATCCTACGTCAAGCAGTCAAAGACTCATCAACACCAGCTAGCAAAGCTCGGCCATCCAACGAAAGGTGGACGTTCCCTTCCTTTGCAAAGAAGGTCTCCCCGACACACGTGTGTTCATCCCATGTGAACACCGGACAGACATGTTGATCGGGGCCAGGAGTTGGGTTGCCTAAAGAGGAGCAGAAGACCAAACGGGACCCCATGCCA